TTTATGCTCGAAAACACCGTTGTAGAATCAAATCAATTTTCGACTATAATCTTGTAAAGGCCGAGAGCAGATTTGGGTGACAAACCTTTTGTCACCTTTTTTCGCTGGCAGAAAGCAACAATAATTTTTTCAATTCACAGATAGTATAATTTACTGTCTAAAATAATAGCCTATTCTTCAACATCTTTTGATAAACACTATGTACTTTTGAAGAGCAATGGCATTATGAGATTACAACTTTTTTTCCGCATCCCCATAAAAAAATTATTACTGCCATTTTAGCGTATACAAATAAACTCTCTGTCAAACCAGATTTCAATTATATTGGCTGCTACATGTACCCTACAAAATAACACCTATGTTTACCTCTGACAAGGATAGCAAGATCATCAAAAGATCATCTGACACTGAAGTCAGGTTCTGCAAAACTAGTATTGAGTGCATCATCAGGTAGCAGCGCTTGCAAGACTAACATTGCCAATATAATTCTCTGCCATATAATGTATCATGAATACTTTATTAATACTAAGAAGATCGCCTTATAGAAGACAAGCTTAATGTCTAGGAAAAAAATGCCAAAACGAACTCTTTGGAATCCAATACATCTTTGACAAAGTTGTTGATAGAGTGAAAAACCGTCAGTGTCCACTCTCCCTGAGTTTAAGTGTGTTTATAGCAGTTCCACTCAAAGTCTAATCTAAAGCGTTTAACTCTAATTTAACATTTCCCTTTTGAGGTTGTTGGCTTCATGCACCAGTGAATAGTATTTGTAAAAGAAATTACTAAGGAATTGGTCAAAATTATTGAAAATCGTAACTCATTTTGGGTCGAACTAACTATTCACATCAATATTCATAGGATAGCGTTTGAGCTTTTCCCAATTTAGTATCCAGATTAAAAGAGATCCATGTGTGATCTGACATTGAAGACAAGGTAGACAAGTAAAATAGCGATAATTAATTAATAATAATAATAATAAATGTCTTTATTGCACATACCATTGTATACAACAAAAGAAAAAATATATATAATAATAACAAAAATTGTATCTATAGTGTAGATATATTCTAAACTAGAATGTTTAAACAACAAGAGACCAAAAAACTTAGTACCTAACACTACAAAAAAGAAAAGAAAAAAAAAATGGCATTGTGCAGTAGGCGGGTTCCAGATAAAATCTGTTCAACCAACCTTACCACATACATAAACTTAATATTATACTACACGCGTCCCACGACAACGACAATACAATTTCTTGAATATTCCTCCCTCTCCTGCTCTGAACGTTAAAAAAAAATCATTCAAATGAATAACTATGACAAGGCTGCACATTGCTCCAAAAATTTATCCTTATATAGTGTTTTTTTGAAATTAATGATATTTAGTTTTTTGATCATAGGCGGTAGCGTTCCATATGACTTATATATGTGATACGTAAAAGACCTGTGAAACAAAGAGGTTCTGTATTTTGGTGGATATATGCCATATTAATTGAACTCTGGCATTAATACATGTTGGCCTCTACCAAGTAAATTAAGATTACCTGTTAAATAAAGTGATTTACCGTATAAGTGATTTACTTTTGATTATTCTCAGTAGATCCCCAAATAAGCGAACGGTAAATTCAAGCTAAAATGATAAAGGTATGGATCCTTTATAATTGGCGATACACATAATTCTAATAATTGATACATCACCTCCTGTATGTAGTAACAGATAGTTCTATAGGTGACTATTCTGACTTTTTAGTTACCGAAAGAAGTAAACATATACGGATTTTATAAGCGAAGGTTTTTGAAAATTGCGTTTATAATCATATTCAGATATCCTAACTGACACTATTCTACGACTGATCGTGTTCAAAATGAACTCCTTGAATACCTCTGATGAACCCGGCGTTTTCGGGACGGTTGAAAGTTCGACGAAAGTCCGTCTGTTCCATCGGCTTTTCCACTACAGCTACCCTGTCATCCTTTTAGGAACCATTAAGCTACCCGCACGAACTTTTATAGTACTGAAGAGGAAGTAGACTTCTCCTCCATTTATTCTCAGCTACTCAACGTTTTACTTCGCAGTTCCTAAAGCAACTACATAATAACGATTTCGGACCAGTAATATTCCTTTATTTTTATAATAACAAACACCAAATATCTCTTCGGATTTTAGTAGGTAGTAAGCCCTATCAATATCAAGAGCCATTTCAATGACAGTTTCTAAGCTGCAATATACAATGACGTTGGACTATAGAATACTGTTACTCAATTGGGTAAGTCATTTATACCAGAAGAAGAGTATCTAGTACCAAATATAACCATATTTTGATCGGTCTAGAATACAAAGTGTATTTTGACAATTATTTTAACTCATCGATGCTGCATCGATCTTTGGAAAGTAAACCTGTGGCATAGTACGTAAAAATATGAGGAGAGGAGACTCATATCGTCTGTAATTTAGACAATTGGGCTGCATTTGCTCATAAATTCTTGCCACCCACACCAACCTAAACAATGAAACGACGTAAGGAATGACGTCATTTGTCCATGAATCTTGTGTAAGCATAATTAAGTTATGTTACTTACGAAGTTATTAGTAAGTGAACCACTATGAAGTGTATGAACAAGGTTGTTATTAACCTTGTTGGTATTGAAACACTGCGCATGTAATTGGCCACACTTAATATATCACGTACTGCTCTTTCCCTATCCCTAAATCCTTCTGTTTTGTACTTTCTTTTAATTGTCATGTATTGTTCCTGAAACATTCCTTCTCAGTTCTTTGCTCATATTGACTATTAATTTTTTTTTATTTTTTGATTAAGTTGTGATATGTAGTTGTTTTATTTAGTACTTCAGTTAGAATTTCTTCTTACCTTTTTCGCTTCTGGTACTGACTTAGCCTTCTTGCTAAAGGAAAAATTTAGTTGTTGGCATTAATTACTTTGTTGTCTTCAGTAGCCTTCCTGGGGGGATATAGGCATATAGGTATTGAAGGAGATTAAGACTCAGTCTGGGCTGTAAGGCCACTAGAAGAAGAAGAGGAAGAATGCCGGATATTGTATATTCGCGTTAAGGTTATAAATATATGACATAGCTTATGTTGCTTGAGTGCTCTATACTTTTTGTAACTCTCTAAACGTTGCATCAAACGTATAGGGAACTTTCAAAACCAAAAATAGTGCGTAATAAAGGGGGTAATAAAGATCGTCCGCACAACGATGATGTTGCTGTACATATTTCCAATATTTCAATCTTGTTCCTCAAATTTAAGATTGCTTTACACAACTTTTGTAAAGATTTGTCTTATGTTGAGCAATCATAGATATAGAAAGCCATGGTATCTCTAATCTAAAGTACGATTTCAGTCTTATAACTTGATATTTATATAATAAGGTGCATTAAACCTTTTAGATCACACATAAATTATTTAAAAGCTTATTTTGTCATAACGATTAAGCTTATTGTTAGAAGAGGAAGATAATTACAGATAGTTTAATTTAAGGTAAGGTTTAAAAACAATCACTGAAGATGGTTATTTTTAACTTTATGCGATTTCTGTAGATTATGCATAAAGAGCTTTGCGTTTTAAGAAAACATATGTATAATTCAGCAATGTCGGTACATTATTGCATAATTAAGTCATAATAAAACTTTCTTGTGTAACTGTTATGTTTATAGAGGTTCAATATTTAAACGCAAATAAACTTGTTAAATTTTTAAACAAGTACCCATAAAACCAGTAAACATTAATCTATTTATTTAAAGCGCGCGAACTAAACAAATATTTACACCTAAAACTATTTATTTTTGATAGAAAGTTAAATAATTTAGGAGTTTATCTTGAATTTATTTAAAAAATTGGTTTTGTTTCCAAATATAACTTCAGCTCTACTATGAGAGATATCAAGTTGGTACTAAATTTAAGTTAGAAAGGCAAGAAATTAATATATAGGTCACTGAACAGACAAGAACCGAAAATCGATGGCCTTCTGTATAATTCACTTCTAACGGACCGTAAACTAGACGTCCTGATCAATTCCCTAAACATCTAGTGTCTACCTAAATGTTGAAATAAGTTACTGAAACTCAAAATTTTGTCTTTAAACGTGGAAGTTCATTTTGGATCTATTCTTTATTCATGTCCTCAGGGTGAAAACTGAGTAAACCAACAAAATGAAGCTAAAAGGACGATAAACTTGTGTAAAGGAGTGTTAAATGAAACTCTTGAGAACAAATGAAAGGATTGTAAATATTGTAACTCGATGCACTAATAAACTAGAAACAATGGCAAAAAGAAAATATGTATAAATGAAGCTTAAAAGTTTATTTTAATTTATGATTATAATATTGTTTTTTACTTCGCAACAAATTTTATTTCGGTTTGAACATTGGTAACGATACTTTACTTTCCAAGGAGGACAAATAAACGAACTCAAACAATGTCTACCACTTTTTCTACAAGGATCCTGGTTATTATTCACCGTGTGCTTAGTGAACCTTCCAATCATTATGGCATTACTTGCTTTATTTATGTCGAAAAAATCATCGTCATAATCAGTATCATAATCATATTCGTCATAATAATAATCAGCGTATCTTTCTTCTTTATTGTTATCATAGCTTTCTCTGTCATAATCGGATCTTTCATTATCATCTTCATTGTTTTCGTTTAAATTGTAAAGATTACTTGAGGGATCTGTTATAGCATCCTCATCTAAATTCCTTTCGTTTTCATTTCCGTACAAATTAGTAGTTGTGCTTTCTTAATTAATTTGATTTAGTTAATTAATGCTAAACGTATTTAATACTTTCTTACCTTGTGTAATCACATCAATAATAAAAGATGTCCAAATAACAAATAGAAAAACAAAGATCTTCATTTTCTTTAAATTTTATTTGTACTTATTCATATTTTTACGATATCATTAATTTTAAACAATAACTGATTGTGCGTTAAAAAAATTATTTATTGTGTAATTGGAAATGGATAATAAAAGAATAAGATTGCTTTTAGATTTATTTCTGAGATTTTATATTTTACATTTTGTTACTATATTGTAGTACTTACTATATGTATAGTGATTAAGATAGATAAATGCAACAGACTCCAGTAGCACATTCAAGATCTGGGTGTGAAATTACCGGTGGACAATCGGTTGAACATTCTCCACCATGACTTGCGCACCTTTTATCGCTTTCTGGAACTAAAAAAATAAAATAATAATATATAGAGTGAAAGTAATATGTAGTCGTTATTTTATATAATATTGCTAAAGTGATATCATCCCCATGTTCCTTCATTTATTTAAATCATCAGCGTCAATAAAGAAAGTAAAGTATAAAGTATTTAACAAAAACGAGACGAAGTTTTGGTTTCCATTTACAACAAAAAAATTGCTGTCGATTTTCCAAGTTATTATTATAACGATTTCCAGTTATTTGCGATATACAAAAAAAAAGTTAACAAAATGTAGCAAAAATTTTTTATTAAAAATTCAATCTTTACCGTTATGTCTATGTGTATAAACACAATAACACAATAAAATTGGTAGGCAATTGGGAGCTGAATTAGTATTGAAAAATAAAAATTCTTTGTTAAATGTTGTCTTTTACAAAAAAATTATGTAGTGTTAAATGATATGCTAATGATATTGGCCAGTTCTTCAAAATTCGATTGTTAATCCGGAGGGCCTTTGCTGGTCACTGGATTGTACAATGAGCAGATACTTAAACCACTATTTTATTTACTAGGGCATGATAAATTCGGTATACAATTCAGACTTTCATAAATACTACAAAAACAAAAAGTACTATAAAAGCGTACTTGAGACTATGTTGTTTGTTGAAGTCTTTATTCCAAACGTCACAGCGCTATTTTACATACAGGGTGTTCATTTCAAAACTTTCCACCTCAATTTCTGTAAATCCGGGAGTTTAAAAAGAAAATCGCTGAAATAGGAAAAGAATAAAACCAAGGGGGACAACTTTTTATGCAAAAATTGACTCACTCACTTCAACCCCCCGCCGCCAGAAACCAACCCCTTAAAAATCTTAAATGGAAAGGGGTACCTCATTTTAAAGGTCTTTTAAGGTACTACATGTTAGCATTTACTTTTTTTAAATTGATCGATTCGTTTTCGAAATTTTTGCGAAAATCTTTGTTTTGTATTTCCCGCTTTAATTAATATTAAAAACTTTAATCACCTTCTTAAAAGCAAGAATAAGTAATCTTTTATTATTAATTTATAAAATTAAATTACCATGTTCGTTTTTACAACGACCATTAAACCTTTATTATTTCGGAGCAATCCGAAATCTTTGATATTTAGGTTATTTTGACAATGATATACCTACGTTGGCTAGCTTGCCTGGCGTCTGTCAGAGATATTTAGAAAAAACGATTTCTGTTTCATTTTTCTTTTCTTTTAGGTTTATTTGGTTATTACTTAAACAACTTTTAACTGCTTGAAACGTTCTATTTTATTTTCAGTTATTTAATTATGTACAAAAACTTTTTGCAGAGAAAATCAACTTAATAATTGTTCAAAGTGTTGTCCGTTATTAGCTAAACAATGGTACAACCGTTGTTCAAAACTACGGCGCACATTTTCAAAAACTTCCCTTTGAATTCCACGGCAAGCTGCAGTAATTCTCTGACGAAGTTCTTCTAAATTTTGAGGTTGAGGGGTAAATACAACAGACTTTAAATGACCCCATAAAAAAAAGTCTAATGGCGTCAAATCTGGTGATCTGGCTGGCCATTCTATAGGACCTCTTCGTCCTATCCATCTGTTTGGAAACGTATTATCTAACCACTGTCGTACTGGGAGAACATAGTGAGGAGGAGCTCCGTCTTGTTGAAAATGTAATTCATTCTCATCAAGTAAGGCATTTTCTTCTCTATCCAACTGATTCTCGAGAGCTTCCGTAATTAGTGGATTGATAGTATTTTCTAACATATCCAAGTACACTTCGCCGTTTAAATTTCCATCGATAAACACTGGACCAATCACTTGGTCTCCCAAAATGCCGGCCCATACATTAACTTTTTCAGGATATTGTGTATGCCCTTCTACAGTCAGATGTGGGTTTTCATTACTCCAATAGCAGATATTGGATGGAGTTATGTTTATTTACAAATCTATTTAAAGAAAAAGTGCATTCATCACTAAAGCAGATATTTTTCACAAAAACGTTGTTATTATTAATAATAGTGGTCACTTCTTCACAAAACTGTATTCTCCTGTCAAAATCGTCTTCAGTTAGCTCTTGATGTATTTTCAATTTATAAGGATGGAATTTGTGAAGTTTGACAACTTTATGAACAGAACCCAAGGATATACCAGTTGCACGAGATACCTGACGCAATGAAGTATTGGGGTTGATACCGAAATGACCCAACACTTCCAGTTGAGCGGTTTCATTCAAAACTCTCGACTCATTATGTTTTATGTTGGCAAGGGACCCAGTCTGATTGAATTTCTTCATGAGATTCAAGACGTATGTATGAGATACGTTCTTATCTGGATGCCTTTCATTAAAAACCTTTCATTAAACCATTATTGCTGTGTTATTTAAATAACTTTGTTAAGTGGATAACACAAAGTTGTTTAAGTAATAACCAAATAAACTTATGTTTAGAATTGCACTTTTATTTTATTCTTTTCTCGCACTGTGAGCCTGCCTATAACTCGTTTATAGAAAGAGAAAAATTTCGTTTCTTTTTTTCCTTTTTTTGGCCATTCGAGTCAAGAGTAATTTTCATACAGGTTTAATGTAAAATACTTTCAATAAAATTTCGTTTAATTCATAATTATACGTGTTTAGTTTTCTTAAATATTTCCGATTGTTCCGAAATAATAAAGGTTTAATGGTCGTTGTAAAAACGAACATGGTAATTTAATTTTATAGATTAATAATAAAAGATTACTTATTCTTGCTTTTAAGAAGGTGATTAAAGTTTTTAATATTAATTAAAGCGGGAAATACAAAACAAAGATTTTCGCAAAAATTTCGAAAACGAATCGATTAATTTAAAAAAAATAAATACTAACATGTACCTTAAAAGACCTTTAAAATGAGGTATCACTTGACACCCCTTTCCATTTAAGATTTTTAAGGGATTGGTTTCTGGCGGCGTGGGGTTGAAGTGAGTGAGTCAATTTTTGCATAAAAAGTTGTCCCCCTTGGTTTTATTCTTTACCTATTTCAGCGATTTTCTTTTTAAACTTCCGGATTTACAGAAATTGAGGTGGAAAGTTTTGAAATGAACACCCTGTATATGTTGTATGGCCTCAATGTCCGAGCTGATATCAAATCTCTAGCTGGTTCTACAAATAAAGGAGTCAATGACATATTTTTCAGGCATCCTACGGCAAAAGTGTTTAACTGTTTCGGAAACTATTTTCGTATTATCAAAAACGTTTTTTGTGAACATCGGGAATAAATATTCCTGAACAGTACAGGTGTCTGTCGATTATACATATATAGAAACTCTAATACTCGCTTAAGCATAACACAGCTCACCGGTTCGTTCTTTCTCTACAGGTGACCACGTTTTGACATCACTTTGTTATACCAATTAAGTGTGTCTGTGGTTAATCTATGATTATCTTTTCAATAAGGTAATAATATAAGAATAATATAATTGAAATAAAACTATGTGTATTTATAGATGGATGGTTTTTTTAATTTTCAACTCTACCGGTTTCGATCGTTACATTCAATCATCCTCAGGAGCATTAGGTTGCTCCTGAGGATGATTGAATGACCCTAACATATTAAAATTGAGATGGAAAGAAATAACCAAATAAATATTAATAATATAAGAGTTTTTCCTGTCAAAGTAGCTGGATTTATATGATTGAAGTATATATTTACATCTATTGTCTTTATTCTGATCTTTATAATGTTAGACATAAAGAACCCTATCATCTGAAGCTATTACCTACGCAGAAGCTATAATTCAAGTTTGTCGGGCAAACCAACTTATATGCAACACAACATTTTTGCAAGAAGTTCAGTAAGACATCGCGCCCAGCAAAAATTGGAAGAATACTTCCAAGAAAGAAATCAAAGTGCCCATAAGAATCATGAACGTTATGAGAATACACAAATTATCGCATTATCAAACCTTTGGTCGAGTGACAAAAGTCATGTCATCTAAGATTTATAAAAGTTTATTGAGAGTATTCATTTAAATGATAATACTAAAGCTGTACTGAAGGGTGAGGTATGATATGACAAACTACATTATATATAAAATACTAGCTTGTATGATAATACAAAATGATAAAGTAATAGTTATTAATAAATGTTAAAAGCTCAAATGAATGTTAATCGTATGTTAACGTTACAATAATTTAATAGTTTAATTTTTAATTCTTCCAATTAATATTGGATTGGTCTTTAATAATCACGTGTATCCTTATTTTTCTAATTACTGTAAACACTGTAATATCTGTCTCATCAAATATTAAACGTCAGATATCATTAATTTACGATCAAGTCATTTCGCAATATTATTCATTGTAAAATAACACTGTACAATTTCTAAAGCCAATGATTTAGGTTTAAGTCATCATGTTAACTTTAACGGAAAGTTAACCTGCCAAAGCAACTGTTTGTGTTCTATAAAGCCAAGTTAATTGGGCAAATTGTCTTTGTGTTTTGAGAAATTTCTTGTTAGTAAAGTTACGTTGAACCAAGAAGTGATTTTATGATACTTAATCGAACTGTAAGCCATTGTTAACGTACGCTAAGCTTTGCTTTATTAGCGTTAAAGGGGCGTTGAGTGAGGAATACTTTCTCAGATTTCAAATAGATTTTATATTTACTTAATCACACGTTAATCGACGCTTTAATTTAATCATGCGAGTACGCCCCATTATCTTATTAACTTATAAAGTATTTTTGACGATTTTTTAAAGATTGAGACCGATTTTATAAATCTAATTTAGAGGATTGCTAACATTGACCGTGTTATCAATCTATTATCATAGGTAATCCTTACGCTTACTTTCACGTTCATTGAAGAAATTAATAATTTTAATTTTTATGTATAAATAATAACGCCATATTATTATTTATAAAATTAGGGTGTTTGAAAAGTTTTCACTCATCCCCGAATAAATATGTGAACATAACTTAAATTTATTAATTATGCTATGATTTTTTAATAACCTCAATTTGAATACCTTATTAGATCACCTATATAATTTTTTTTTTTTATTTGATTTAATTTATTATTTTATCTACATTATATTATTACTACTAATAAAAGTATTACGACTATTAAATATTTCAGAATAAATTAGTGACTCACGATATAATTTTATGTTTCAGGTAGGTGTCAATCTTTAAATCAAAGGAAACCCTTATTTGGATAGGTTCAATATCCTATGTTCTATTGGGTAAGTTAATTGTATTTAAATGACTCAGTTTATATCGCTTAATCATGAAATATCTATGAGTTTGTAATATCAAACTTATATTATTCCTTGTAGTAGCTTCTAACTATGAAATTGAGATTTTAATCGAATTATTACCATATAAACTAACCTCTATCGCAACATTCGGCTCCTTGGGACTGTTGCTGTGGGCATAGACCTGAGGAATGAGGCGAATTTGGACACAGTGAGGCCAAAACGCAGTGACCTCCCACAGCATTACATCCATCCTCCGGATGAAAATCTAATACAATCATAAATTTAAATTAAGTTACTTTATAAATATTTAATAACATACCTCCCATAACCAAAGTTATCGTATTAACGATTACTAAAACACATATTGCAGATTTAGTTAACATCACTGATATGAAATTATATTATTGAATTAATCGACTACGAGATTTCGGAGTACAAAGTGTTCACCGAACCGAATGCTATTGAGCCACTACACCGCACTCGAAACTGTTTATATACGTTCGTTTAGGAACGTGACGATATGGATGCGAGAAATGTCTAGTAACAGAAAATTTATAATAAAAAAAACATAAATTTGAATGTTGAATGAAGTTTAAACATTTCAATAGTTTTTATGCAAAATGTTTTTTTTTGTTTCTTTTTTTTTGTTGTTATTCGTTTTTAGAACTGCAAAAAAGCGTGTTACGTTTTAATCAATTTCACTTTGCCAACTTTTAGCTTTTATTTATGACTTCCCGAGCGGTAACATATGGGACGAAAGAATCGAAAATGAGCTTTCGGTGAAAGCCTACAAACCACCATAAATCCTGAGTACGAATTTCTCTTTCCCTACATATTTCGCATTAAATCACACCGTTCAATAAACGTTTATTACACTTTGATTTTTTTAATTTAATTTTGAATATGGACTTGAAAGTTTTCTTCTAAGTAATAATAAATAGTAAATGTTTTTGTACATAAATATAGGTATTTTATATGTATTTACCTGAACATGAAATGTAGGCTTATCGATGAAGTAAAGTATGTAAAATATGTACTTAATTATTCACTACTATTTCAAACAAGGTGATGCAAAAATAATCTGATAACTGAAATTGCGGTTAAAACAAAAACTCGTTAAACTAAGAGAAAAAAAAAGCGTTATATTTTGTTCGTTGAGGTTAAGACATTTGCTCTAACACTTGATTTGAAATTATGATATTATTTTTTGAAATTATTAGAAAAAAATAAATTATTATTAGTATATCGAATCAAAATAAAATGTGATCTTTAATCTCGTTTCGAGACTTTTGAAATATAAATACTTTGTACAGTATCAAAAATATAATGTTAATCATCAAAATGTTGACGTTTTCCAATTGCGATTTATATTCGCGTATATACAAAGTATATAGCGCTATTTTGACAACTTTATAACAGCCATACATCTATGTATACACATACAGGCAACGGCAAAAGTATTTCATTGATAATGAAAATCGTATAATGTCAGTCGGTTTCGCTCTCCTAAACACAGTATCTATCACCACTAAGTGATGGTCTATAAAAAGCTTCGTCCTTCTTATATCCTTGACATCTCTGAAAGAATTTTTCAGATCTTTGAAATTGTGCTGCTATCACGTGCTTTCAAACGTGATCTGATGGATGCGCTTTTGAGGGTTACCCACAATCATCTGGTTCGTGGTACAAAAGTCCAAGATTCTGCTGCCATTCTTGTTGAGGATTTCTTCCCCTGCATACTGACCTAGCATGTCTCCGCTTTTAAAACGTTTGTTTCGAAGAGCAATAGAAGGAATCTTGTGTCGTCTTTAGTAACTCACTAATTCCCAATAAAAGGAAGAAGGGAAGAAACTTTCGAGGAGGTGCAAGACACTATCAAGAAAATGAAGAATGGTGAAGGCAGAATGCATTGTATTGGCCGAAAAATGGAGAACTCTCCAAACGGCAATATTCCTCATTAATGTTATTGTAAAGCTATCCAGAATCATGGAGAGGCGCCTAAGAACTTGCATTGAAGAAGAACTGGATGAGGAACAGGCAGGTTTCAGACCAATACAGATGAGTGGATCAGCAGGAGGAAATCTGCATATTTGGCTTTCTTGGATATGCACTCTGCGTTTGATGATGTGCAAGAGGTCTGGAAACCACTGGAGAAGAAAAGGACTTTCCCTACAACTGATGCAGGCCATCAGGTCCAAACATAACTTAACCTCAAGCATGTTCGTCGTGGAAAAAGTTGTTAGACAAAGAGACAGTTTATCCCCATTGCTATTTCTAGCTTTTATGGATGAAATGGTGAAGTCATGCAAGACAAGAACCAAAACTTGGTGGCCGACCGATCATGTCCGAGGCTGATATATGCAGATGAGAGTCCATCCTATTTGAAACAACCTGTATATGTGACACGAAACCCAAAGAATGGAGCAAATAGAAAAAAGAGAAAGACTTTTAACAGAAATGTACAAGAAATAGTAAAACATTAGCATTTAAAAGCGCGAATGTTTTTAAACATAAGATAAATACATATAGGAATGACATTATGTAACGGTAAAGAGAGAACTGAAACAGTAAACACTGAATACCTCACAGGGTATTGAATACGCTAGCTATGAAGAACCAAAATAGTAAGATGTATTACATTAACTCTCATGCAACACAGCCAATTGCTTAATCACAAAAATTAACAAACTTAATGATCATATCGCTCACTAATTTAGACAATTAAATTAAAATTTAATCAGTGATGTCCAAATATTTGACTATAAATCATCGAAGTTTATTTTTTAGGTTTTTATATTTATCTTTTGCATATGTCTTAGCAAACCAAGCTTTTTAGAACATCTTTAAAATTAAATTGAATTGCAATGCACTACAAAACAAAAATAATAATCTACCATTCAAAATTGATGCACAATTAGAACATTGGAATCTGTATAGTCCTAGTTATACTGCACAGAAGTACTATATTGAATTGAGCATTTGATGTCTGTATTAGCCCTAAGTTGAGGGTCCAGTCGATAATGATGTAAGCACAAAAATAGAGAAAGGTCTTTTAAAATATACTGGTTCTGCAATTAATAGCATATACTGTTAAAAAATCTAAAATCGATTGTGTAGAATATGTGTGAAATGATAATATTAGAATTGAAAAGAAAACCGGAAATCCTAACCACTGCTTTGTTTTCATCAAAACTATGTCAAGGATTTGCGATAAATTATTTGATATGATTTTTAACGTAAAAGTACAGTGATTTTTCTAAAAATATTTGTAAAATAAAACAAGCAACTAATTCTATTCTTTTCATTAATATTAAAAAATCTTAATCACTATTAAAAAATCTTATCTTAATATTTAAATCATTTTTAAATGATTTTAAACGTAATTATAACTGAGACTAATAACTGTAGAAAATTCTTGGGAAAATCGAACATTACAAGGACAATTAAAACAACGTTGTAAACAACGTTCAGAACACACTATTTAATTAAAAAAAAACAAAGTTAATACTTAAAATTAACAAAAGAAATATTAGTAAACACTAAAAAAATGGAGGTACATTAAAAGCAAACCACATAACGAACAATTCCGAAGCCTCAAGACCAGATTAATAATTTTGAAATTCTTCTAAATTAATTCTCTAAACGGCACATAAACAAAAATTCGGCGAAGACAAGGTCAAAAGTTAAAAATAACAAGATATTTTTCATCTTAAAAGCTGATAAGGTTTTTAAGACAGAAGGTTATCTCTTTCTTCCTTCAGAAAATACTTTAGTTGATAAAAATGCCTTTTTTATTGAAGATTGAGAGCGTGGTTGCTGTGATCTTCTTTGCAAAAAATTAATGAGTGCAGCATAAAAAATTAGTGCAACCTCTTTTCATTTTATTCGCATTGAATATTTGCCAGCAATCCATTGCCAAAGAGCTGTTCATTGAATTAATAGTGTTTCATCCCATTTTATTTTTGATCAAAAGAATTATAGCCAGTAATTTAGTACTCCAATCCTCTCAGTCCCATTTTGACAACTATGGCGATAGACTGTTTCTTGGTCGTGTATGTTTCTTTACTTAACTTTAATTTTCCCTTCATCTTTAAGTATGTTGATCATATCATCTGTCCGATTCCCTTCGCCCAGGTCGACGATGTTCTTGATGTTTTTAATGATTTTGATGTATGTTTGCAGTTTACTGTGGAAACCGAGGTTAACGCATATGTATCCTTTTTGATCACCAAGGTCATTAGAACTGATGACCATTATCTTGGATTTATACAGTAAATCTAGGTACTCGGGTAGATTCATAAACTTTCCTCTAATCATCCTATTAATCAAAAAGTTAACACTATCGTCACTTTGTGGGATAGAATTAAATTAATTTACAAGGAGATTGTTGTTAATCCCGTTAGCAACAAGGACTAAGGTTCAGTTCCAGGATAGGATCGTTGATAAAGTAGTTGAAGGTCCAGTCGATAATGATGTAAACACAAAAATAGAGAAAGTTCTTTTAAAATTGACTGGTCCTGCAATTAATATCATATACTGTTAAAAAATCTAAAATCGAAATCCCTAACCACTGCTATGTTTTCATCAAAACTATGTCAATGATTTACGATAAATTATTTGATACGATTTTTAACGTAAATGGACTGTGATTTTTATAAAAATATTTGTAAAATATTAACAAATCGTAATCACTATTCTTTTAATAATTTTAAATGTAATTTTAACTGAGACTAATAACTGTAGACAATTCTTGGGAAAATTGACCATTACAAGGAGAATTAAAACAACGTTCAAGGTCTAAAAGGTTCCGACATTTCACCGCCTTTGTGAATTTGATATTAGAATAACGCATAAAAAATAAGAGTTCGTGGAAGTGCTTATGTCGGCATTTTTAGAATATCGCTTTCAGACTGGTTGAATTGTTTTAAAATGTAACAGGTAAAACTAAATTTGCATAAAAACTGCTTGGCAACAAATTTTGAATTCATTCCATCGTTTTACATTAAGGCAAAATGTTTAAACTAAATCATTAAATCATGGATAGTGTGGCAGAAAAAGTCGAAATAATTTTTATTTATGGACAAAGTGGCACAAAAGTTGCTGATAGTATAGTTTTGCATCGAGAACGTTTTCGTGATCGAAATACGCCTTCGAGAAGTACCTTTTACAGAGTTGTGAATGATTTCACTAACACTGGAAATGTGGAACTACGGAAGATAAGGAAGTTGCGGTATTAGCTAGCGTTGAGGTAAATCCTCAAGTTAACACTCGACGACTTGCTGGAACATCGAAGACCAGCATTTTAAAAATATTAAAGCGCAACAAGTATCACCCTTTTCATTGCATCAACAGCTTTACGGAGGTAATTTTGGAATCGATCAATATTTTGTCAATGGGCACAACAACAAATGCAATTGGACGTCAATTTCTTTGCTAACGTGCTATTTTCGGATGAGTCTACTTTTACA